CTCCATTTTTTCCAGCCAAGCACTGTAGTCAGGAGTGAGGCTAGGGCTAGACCTGAAAGCCCTAACACCCCGATTGAAGAAGCGAAGATCGATTTTCTCCTTAGCGGGATATTTGTTATCCTCTGCATCTTTCTTAGAGCATCCAACAGGTTTGAGCCTTTCGAGCATTGGAAAGAAGCTTTTGATCTTCATGGCTTCAGCGATGCTTGGGTTGAGCGGGCCAGACATGGCGAAGATTTGGTTGGAGTATCCAACCGGAATCATGAGTTGGCGTGAATAAGCGTCACGTTCGGCAATGTCTAGGGGCTCAGGGACCATTCGTTGGCCTGTGGGAGTAACTACAGGGGCAGTGGAAAAAATCTTGGGTTTAGCATTTCTGGAGGGGATGTTAGAACTAGGAGCGGTGGAAGAACCGGACGCCATTGTTGATGTTAAGGTTGAAGATGAAGTGAAGAACAAGTTGTTTGCAAAGTTTGCAGAGAGTTTGTATTCAATAAGGAAGTTTGAAGGCAAGGTAGCGTGAAAAAGTCCAACAATGGGTACTTAGCGCTATTTATAGTAGTTGGGAAATCCCCAAATTCGAGGCCATTTAATGCCATTTAATGTTGCAGAAGATAGTGGGACACGTGGCGTCCCCCTGTTGACATAGCCGTTCTGCAGAAATGAAAGGGTGCAGCGTGCGCCCTCGTTTTTGGGAATTGTCATGATGACAATTTGTGAAAAGACATTTGGCACGCTGCACGCCGTACTGAGGTGACGTCTTAGGTACGGATGAAATGATGGCTTTTCCTTGGGATTGTCAGTGGTTGGTAGAAGACAAAAAAGTGCACAATTTAATTTGTGACTAAGAATGAAAAGACAGGTGTCGAATGGAGTTTCAAAGAATGCCTTTTTCTTTTCAGAGTCGAAATAAGGCATTCTTGGGGGGCAATTTGTTGGCTCCTAAATTCGACACCCTTGTTTTATTAATATCAACCATTAAAGCTGAAGGATGTTTTCGACCAGCTGGGTCTGTCGAAATGCCCATCAGATGATGGCAATGTACTTAGAGGATTTCTTCCAAGGGAGAATTTGGTGGCCTTCGACGTCGAAGGTTTGGCTCGTCGAAGATGCCTCTCGACGAAGGTGTTCGATTGCTCAGAGTGGGACGGTTTGAAATTCAAACGTTTGGAGGGAAAACGGTTCCCAGCGGTTACCAAGTGCAACGTGCAAAGATCTGGAGCGTCGGACGCTGAGAACGTGCCAAGTGGAGTCATCTCGAAGCAGTGTAACTGTCCGACGGTTACTTGGGATGTTTAGTATAAATATTAGTAGTTCACGCGGTTTTTCGCGTGTGTTCACAATTATATACAAGTCACTCATATAGATTCGAGTACCCAGCGTGTGAGAAAGAATTGTTGAGAATGTATGTGTGAAACACCACTTTTATTAATCAAAGTCATTTATTTTCCAGAAACTTTACTTGCTTTCTCCTTTACTTTTCCTGTCGAAAACCTTTATTTCAAGCCTTCCTTTATTTTATCAAGTTCTCTTCTTCATGCAATTTACATAAAGCTTCTTTATTTTCTTGTCATTTAACCATTGTCAAACTTAATCAAAACCCCAAAATCAACCATGTCTTAGGATCAATCTGATCGATCCTGCGAGTAACCAAATAAGAAACCATTTGGAAGATCAGCGGTTGTTTACCAAAACCAACGGTAAACACCTGTGGAGCTCGCACCAGCCTTCTGTTTACTCTCTTGTCCTGAGTCAGTTTTAAAAGCCTCTCCCTTTGTTCGGCCATGTCGCCTGCAAAGAAGAGAACTCGGGTTAGTTGCGAGCAAGTAACAAACAATTAAATTGGAATAAAACTATAAGACAAAGGCAACCTAGTAGATCTACGGCCTTCCCGTAGGATTGGCACTCGACAAGCGCCTTGGTATCGATAGGACGGGCCTCGAATGTCAGGTAACCTTCTTCGTCAAGAATATCTTCCCCCTCCCTCGTGACCCACCAGGCAGGGAAGAAGCTGTCGACATACTTGCAAAGGGTACCACAGGCTTCCTCATCCTCGACACTCATTCCTCCCGCGGGCGTATGGTAGTACCTGGTACCATGCTCGTAATGGCGCGAGTACCAATGTAACGGGAACTTGGATACACGCCCCATCGTCGGACGACCCTCAGCGTCCATAAGGGGCTCCCCGTTCTCGTCGACCACCGCGGTTTCCTCTTCATATATAGAATCCAAAGCAGTTTGGGTGACCGGCTGCAGAATGTACCACTTGTCCTTGAAGCCCCGGACCGAATCCATGTACATCCTGGACAGCCTCTTCGACTGTTTCAGGGAAACCCAACTATGCCTGCCTCCTCGAGACTGACGCTGCAAGTGAAATACTTTGAAGAAAAGAGGAATGGTCACCCCGGTCCTCAAGAAGCGGCATGTCAGCTCGAACGCCCGAAGGAAGGCGATCGAATTAGGATGAAGCTGCGAGGGGGCCAAGTCCAGATGGCAGAACACCCCGACTTGGAAATCACTGAAAGGGAGCTTAAGGCCGAGATCCCTGAACACGATCTCATACATTGGAAACCCATACTTGGTGAACTCCGAGGAGATTCGTGCATCGAGGGACGGCCTCGTCACAATAAAATTCTTCTGGAAACCCGGTTGACTACTGCCGTGTTCGATGACAGTGTATGCGCGCCGACTACGCCGTAAATACACCGAGGCAATCCCTCGGGGCTCGGCGCCCACCCAATCCAATGAAGGATCATCGACGGTATCAACTAGAGTCACGTTCTCTTCGGCACTTTGGTCCTCGACCTCATTACGCCTCAAAGACTCCGGTTCGTCGGCCATTTACCTGCAAAGCACAGGAAACCGGTGAAATTCGAGAGCAAATCCGCATGCTCGCCACAGTGACGGGAAGTAGTGCGCGACAAGCCAGACACGCTCGAACAGACGTCGGGAACAACAAGAGGATAGCATGAACACCCCGCGCGATAAACATGAATGACTCGAACAAGATCCTGGTTTCGCCTCCCTGACGCTAAGATGCTACGATGAGTTATCCCACATACTTCCTAAGGGGTTAACGTCCCAGCCAGCTCATGGGTGCGCCGACCTAAACTATGAATGTGACGGGAAATATCATGAATCTTATGCCTAGAACTATGGGTTTACCGGGCAGTATCATGGATTATGCGCCTAAAACCATGAAGGTCATGGGCAGCATTGCGAGTCATCTACCTAAAGCTATGAGTTTACCGGGCACAAACATGAATATACCGGGCACTAATCCCAGATATGGGTTTCTAGCATCCAAATAACGGTAAAACTACCTACAACAAAGAAAAATAGGAGGAATAAACACTTACTTGGAAGCAAAGAAGAATGTACGGCAGTGATGAAGGAAGTCAATGAAGGAAGATGCGGTAATCTTGTGATGTTGTAGAAAAACAGCGGCGACGAAAGCAGAGGAAAAAGGAGAAGCGCGAAGAAGAAAAACAAATTATGGGACCTAAGGATCCTATTTATAGGGATGATGTGGAATACGAAACGTCGCCTCGGGGAGTCACGAACTTCCCCTCCTCAACATCTACTCCCCTAGGCAATGATGGCCCTATTGTCGCTAGGGTGGTGTTACGGTTCCCAAGGATTTCCTCGTGTACCCAACAAATACAGCCCGCGAGGAATCCCCCGAGCAAGCATCGACGAGGATTACGCTACGAACGCAACCCGTGAGAAACTCCTCGAGCACGCATGAGGATTAATATCCTGGGTCGGGCATCAGACCCCGTGGCAAAGGCGAGCTGAAGTCAAGTCATAACTCCTGCCCCAGGAGCAACGGCTTGGGGGCTCCTGTTCTAGACTGGGCCCGCCCTGGCCCAAAAAGAATGGATAAAGGAATAACCCTAAAGAATTCAAAGATTTTAGGTTTGACTCGGTTCTAGACGAAGGGAAGGTGTTAGGCACCCCCCATCTACCTTGTTCACAAGAATACTAAGTTTAGAAGCGCGATGTTTTAGAAATAGTGTTTAAGTGTTTTATTAGGGGAACAAGGTTTTAATTTTAGTTAGGGGAAATAGGTTTGAATTTTAGTTAGGGGAACTCACCATGTTTTTAATCGTATACCTACGTATCCTCTTAGGAGGAATCAGAGTCCTATTTCGTAGCTCGCCGGATTTGGTTGGTGTTTTTTATGGATTGCGTATAATTGTGTATCTTTATTTTGTTATGTTAGTGCAAAAACATTTTGAAGTTTGTTAGCTGTTTTGAGTTTTGATCGATAGCGAGTATGGTAAGATATAGAGCGGGGGAAGTCTGATATAGTCTCCTCATCATGTGACTAGATATTGTCCACGTATTACTCGTCATGAAGGATGCAGAGGGAGTCTGATATAGTCTTCCTCGTCACATGGCCAGATATTGGCCACGTGTCACTCGCAGATGGAATATTTGAAGTTGCATGGGCTTTAATATTTTTGTAAAATATTAATTTAATTTAATTTAATTTAATTGTGAAAATTGTTTGATTTTTGAATAATAAACCGATAAACTATATATCGATTGATTTAATTACTCGAAAATGGATATCCTATTATTTATAAAGATATTATTGATTTGATTTAAAGTGTTTGATTATGTACGAGTTAGTTATTCCTATTTAACTATTTACTAATTAAAACCGAATAAAGCTATCATAATGAATATTATTCTACAAATTAATCCATCTAACAATTAATTAATTAATTAATTAGAATGATTAACAATAGTAACTAAATGACAATAAAAACAGGGGGATGTTAAATTAGAATTGAGTCGAAGTAAGTAAAAATATGAATAGGAGGAAATTAGTGGCCCAAAGTGCATGATAGTAAAACCCTAGTTTTCTTCAATGAATAAATGGTAATAAAAATAAAAAGAAGAAAGATACCTCATTTTAGGAGAGAGGCGCCGCTGGGTGCTCTTCTGTTCACCTCTTTCATTTTAGTAAAACATGGATGAATTTTAATAAATTAAAGTCTAGCCATTATAAACGTGACACGTGGCAACAATAGTAATAATAAAAACCAGAAAAACAAAAATGTATTACAGGGTATTACATATTGAACAAAAGAAGAAAAAAAAACAAAACAAAAAACTTCTTGCATGAGTGACACGTTCTTCTCCTCTTCGTCTTGTTCTTCATTCCAGCCGCGATGGGTGTCGAGCGGGGTAGCCGGCGAGTTGGATGCAGGTGGCGGAACCGTCGCGGGAGGTGACGGGCGATGGAGTTGTTCGTCGGTGATTGTGAAGCGGTGGGTCTCGCGATCTGTGTTCGTTGGCAGTTGCAGAGTGATAAGCTGGTGCGATTGCGTCTGACTGATCGATGAGTTAGGATTATTGATACTGTTGGAAGTTAGGATTATTAATACTGTTTTTGTGTATTGTGAAATAGTGGCCACATATAAAAGATTAAATTAATTTAGACACATACTTGCCTATTAATTAATTTGTTAATCATTGATCAAAGAAAAGAAACAAGGATTTTGTGAATGTTAATCAGTAAAAACGTAAAAGAAAAAATATGATAAAAAATGGATTTTTGTCTATGTTGAAAGATTAGGTTATTAGAAATTGTTTGCAAAACACAATTATCACGAATTCATCACTTGGTTAAAAATTAAAAGAAAAATAAAGAAAATTGTTTGAAAGAAATTTATAGTGAATTGTGTGTGAGTGCGTGTGAAGTGTTTAATATTGTTGATTTGTTGAGTTACAAAAATATAATTCTTAAAAGAATAATTCAAAAGAATAATCCTCAGATAATATCATCATATGATTTAAACAACGAGTAAATCACAATTAAGAAGATAAAAATTGAAAATAAGAGGGAGGGGGCCTCATATAAAATCTTTGGCCAAGAATAAAATTTTTTGTTATTGTTGTTGTTTGATATAGACAATAACCCTAGAATAAACTAAGAACAAAAATTATAAGATAAAGAAGAAAAAAAACATATTTTTATGGATGAACTATGAATATTTCTGGATGAAGAAATAAGACAATGAGGAGTCCTATTTATAGAGTGGGAATTAAGTTAAACAAACTTAACAAGTAAGTTATCCAAACACTAGTGCAGAAATGACTTTTTACATCGGGTGAAACTGACTTTTTATATCGGTTCTGGGTCTGATGTAAAGTCAGACGATATAGTAAATCAGGTACTTTTTACATCGGTTCTGGGTCCGATGTAAAAAGTCCCTTTTTTACATCGGTTATAATATAAGAATGATGTAAGAAACAGTTATAACATTATTTTAAAAAAATTGACGCAACTTTTTACATCGGTTGAGAGTAATAACCGATGTAAAAAGTCCCTTTTTTACATCGGTTATAATATAAGAATGATGTAAGAAACAATTATATCATTATTTTAAAAAAAGTGACACAACTTTTTACATCGGTTGGGAGTAATAACCGATGTAAAAAGTCCCTTTTTGAAAGTTTTTATATCAGTTGGGAGTAATAACCGATGTAAAATGTATGAAATTTTTTGAGAATAAATTATTTATTTTCTGGATGTTTCCCTGTACAAAAATAATTTGTATCCATTTTTTCATATTTTTCCAATATCACACAGACTATATTTATGTCGCTATATAGATTTCATAGCTTTCCAACATCACATAGACCACATCTAGGTCGATGTTTTCATATTTTTCACAACAAACTTATAAATTGAACAATTGTATTGCAAACTTGTATTGTATCACAACAAACAAACTCACAACAAACTTACAATTACATATTCTTCACAAAATATACAAAAATATTCAACTATTTATAAGTCTTTTTCCAAACTTGAATTACCAATATAAAATCCACAAGTAGATGAGTTATAGCTTCGGTAGACAACACCAAAATCACATTGCCTGAAAATAAATAATAACAATTAACATCAGCAAAAAAAAATCAAGAAACTCAATACATGTGCAAAAACCACATGTATTGTGCAAAAACTCAATAATAACAATTATGTGCAAAAACCACAACTTAGACAATTCTATAAAACTCACCAAGATAAAATTAATTTTTATATAACTCAAAGAAACATTTTTCCCAACGGAGTCGCAAATCATACAAATCATCTTGTGTTAATTATGTTGGGTCATCAAATACCTATAATACATAAATATAACAATATAGAGTTATTTTTAAAAAATTCATATTAAGTCGAAAAACAAAAAATAAACACAGAAAGATATTTATTGTTTCCTTATAACCAGAAAGATATTTATTATAACCATTACAAGAATTATTGTAACCATTACAAGAACTATCGTTTCCTTGTAAACACAGAAAGTTCACAAGAGTAGACATCACTTAGGATAGATATTGATTCATCACTAAGAATTTTGTAAATAAAACAAATAGATATTGCTTCATCATTTAAAACATACCATTTTTTTCAAGCACGTGTGTTAGTCTGATTCAATGTCAGAAAGTCCCTCATTTAATTATGGAATCGAATTTGTTAAAGTCCCTCATTTACTAGTATGAACATTGTCCAAATCAATAGTTTGAGGTGGATTTGTTGTAGGCATCGGTAGATTATTTTGAGGCTGCAAATACATAATGGACACCAATCAATTACACCAAACTAATGTAATTAAAGGACATTAAAAACAATAATAATACCAAAACTTACTTGATTTTCGGCCATGGAAATGGAAAAGGATGCATCAGAACCATCTACTCCTTTGTCAGTAGCCATATTTGACTGTAACAATAGATAAAAGATCATTAATTAGTTTCAAAATCAAAAGGACTATCCCAAATTCCAAACTTATTTACATAGCTTTATTGTTATGGACTTATGACAAATTCATAGATAATAATAATGCCAATTGAAATCAACGTCTCTATTGTTTACACAGCTTCACGTCTAGCTTTAATGTTATCAACAATTCAACATCTTTATTCTCTAAAAGCATGAAGATTAACAAATATGTCTCAATTGAAATCATTTCCTCATCACTATACCAAAAAGGAACAAAAGCTAACATACTACACAAGCTCAAGAATAATCAGGCTAAAATCAATAACAAGAAACTTCACAGTACCCAATCCAACAAGTTTATAAACAAACCATTCAACATAAAAATACAAGACAAGATACCTGTTTTGATAAGGAATGCTTTCAAAACCTTCTTCCCACCGCCAAATTGAATCGAACGAAATCTAAAAATTTCAGAAAATATATAATTAGAAACAAAAAACAAATTTAACAAAAAATAATCAGAAATGGTTCGCAAGAAACAGAAGAAATTTATAATTACTTCGTGAACGATTCACAACAGAAGAAATTCAGAATGATTATGCTTCGTATTTGGTTTGACTTCGTGAATGATTCATAATAGAAGAAAATGTGGAACAATTCTGCTCCGCGTTTGGATTCCGCGTGCTTCGTGTTTGGATTCTGCTTCGTGAATGATTCTCAATAGTTTTCGTAACTTAGCCGCTTCGTGAATGATTCTCAGTATTGAAAGATGAAGGTTTCGTAAACCGATACGGCGTAGGCGATACGGGGGCGGCGAGGATGTCTTGGGTTTCTGTTTGAACAGTGACGAAATAATGTTTTTTAGGGGTTAGTTCAACATTATATATATATATATATATATATATATATATATATATATATATATATATATATATATATATATATATATATATATATATATATATATATATATATATATATAAATTTTTACATCGGGGCAACCGTTCGCCCGATGCAATAGTTTATGCGCTGATGTTTTTTACATCGGTTTACAGAAGGACCAATGTAAGGTACATATGTTTTTACATCGGTGCAATCCTTGGCCCGATGCAAGGTTCTGGCACTGATGTTTTTTACATCGGTTTTCAGAAGGACCGATGTAATCTAGTTTTTTACATCGGTTTAAAGGATGGCCCGATGTAAGGTTCGGGCGATTGATGTTTTTTACATCGGTTTTTATGATTCCCCGATGTAAGATTTTTAATATATTTTTTATATTACCAATCTGCCAAGGACTTTTTACATCGGTTGACTGCAGGGACCGATGTAATATCTGGCCAGTTTTTTATATACAATATTTCTGCCACCTGGTTTCTTATTTACAAAAATGCCACCGTGTTTTTTTCACGAAACCTTTTACATCGACTGACTAAATGGACCGATGTAAAAGATAGCGGAAAATATTTTTTTCACATTATTTATATCATTGCAAATAAATACCTGATGTAAAATGTTTTTAATTTTATTTTTTACATCATATATTTTAATACCTGATGTAAAAACCTTTTCTCAAATGTCATTTTTTTAGTAGTGAAAGTGAATGAAAAGCCCAAGCCCGATTTCCAAAAAGGAAAGAAAATTAGTAACAAAAAGAAATAAAAAGAATATCACAAGTGCTCCATAAGAGATTCAAATCCACAACCTTATACTTGTAAACTTTATTCTTTATCAATTGTGTTGTGTTACTCATTTGTAAATAAACTCAATTTAAAAGAATATGAAAGATGTGCAGATATTTTCTATTTTTAAAAATACAAATAGTTTGAAATGAATCATTATATTTTTAAATAGGTTTGGAAGCGAATATTTATAAAAATCAAATAATATTATAAACATAAAGTTTAATATATTTTTTACTGGACTTGAGAATGAACATCTATAAAAATAAAATAATATTATAAAAATAAAGTTTAAAATATTTTTGACTGGACTTGAGAATGAACATCTATAAAAATCAAATAATATTATAAAAACAATGTTTAAAATATTTTTGATTGTAGAAATAAAAGGACGGATAAATTTGGAGTATGACACCTGTAAAAGAAAAAGAAATAGTTCAAGAAGTGGAACAACCTAAGAGTACCAGTTAAATTGAAACAAAAAAATACCTTGGACCTTAGTGGGAACAAAACATCATGGATGAAGAACCTCATATAGCTATTATGGAGAACATAGAGATTAGTAAGAAGGGATTTGAAGCTCTAGTGATGGGTAGTCATCTACTTGATGACCCATGTTATTTGTTTGGAATATTAGGGGCTTTAAGAAATAGTCAAGGCACCTTGAGATAAAAGCCCATCTCAAGAACTTCCATGTGCCTTGTGTAGCTTTTCTTGAGACTAGAGTGAAACAGAAGAATGATGGAAAAATTAGAAGTATTTTTGGTCATAATTTGATGTGGATAGATAATTATGACAAGCATCCTAATGGTAGAATATGGATTATGTGGCACAAGGAGGATTTGGTGATCAAGATGCATGAACATTGTAAGAACAAAAAGTATTTTTACATTTGGCCTTCATATTTTGATGATAACTTTATATGGTATCATAAAGAATAGTTGTATACTCTAATGATTTCTTTCTAGTGTGTAGATGCTACTGTAATGTTCTAACTTTGATATCAAGGTGTGTGACATCATCAAATTCTTAACATAAACAGTATTGGAATAAAACATTTGGTTAAATGTTACAATTGAAGTCAAGATTCTAGAATTCGTCTTATGCAACGGTTCTTAGGAGCGTTAGTACAAGAGGTTCTAATCGTGACTTTGTGGTTAAGCTTTGAAGGCCTTCTAAAGCTTTGCTTTTATGTGTTCCAAGTTCTGAAGATTATGAAGACGGGGTTCTGTTGAACAAGTTCTGATAATCTGTTATTACGATCAAATGCTGAAGACTCAGAAGACAAGGTTCTGACGGGACAAGTTCTGAATACTCCAAGACTTAGGTTCTAAGACTTAAGAGGGACTCTTCTAGAACAAGCTTCAAACATTAAAGTTATCTGAAGCCTCTGAAGATTAGAAGAAGTTCAAAATGATTAACTTGTGATGGTTTATAAAAGGTATAAAAAGTGTTATGTGACATCTATCCTCTAGGGTGGCGTAAGGGAAATCCTTTCGTACTGTATTATCAACCACTCTCATTATGACCGTTGGAAACAAACAACTGTTTTCCATATTGTCTTTCTACCCTTAACGAATCTATGTCTACTATTGAAGATAAGGTTAAAGTTAAACGTTGTAAAGTGATAGTCAATGAATAATATCACTTTGTACTGTCCAAACTCTTAGGGCCCGTTCGACGCACCTGATATGATAGAGACATGATAGGATATAAAGAAGGATAATGATAGGATATGATATAGACATGATAAGACTTATCCTATCATGTGTTTGGTTCACATAGGATACTAAATATAATATTATATATATATATATATATATATATATATATATATATATATATATATATATATATATATATATATATATATATATATATATATATATATATATATATATATATATATATATATATATATATATATATATATATATATATATATATATATATATATATATATATATATATATATATATATATATATATATATATATATATATATATATATATATATATATATATATATATATATATATATATATATATATATATATATATATATATATATATATATATATATATATATATATATATATATATATGATAAATTTACCCTTGTAAAAGAAATATATTTTTTCCAAATTATTTTGTAAATATTTTAAAATTTATAAATTGATAAAAAATTAATATTTTTCTATAATTTTAAAAATAAAATTCATTGACACTACTGAGTAAATAATTTTAGTTTTATTTTTGAAAAATATCATGAATTCTATTATATGTGTTAGATAAATAAAATAAAAGTATGTATATATAATATGTAAATGTTGCAGAAAAATATATTTAATTTGATAAAAAATAAAATTAGTATTCATATTTATAAGATTTTAATAATTATTTTATTATTAAATATTTCAATTTATTAGGTTTTAATTTTTATATTTTGTAAAGTTAGAAAATTACCCTTAAGACAATCATACATATTTTTCAAAAAATTATTTATTAATATTTTTAATTTAATATTCAACTAATCTTTATTTATCTTTTATCATATTTAATTTTTTTATTTTAATTTATATTTTATAGTCTAAAATTTTAAATTATTTTCTTATCCTATCCTGCCAGATTCTAATCCAGCTCATATTAAAGATAACAATTTAAACTAGTGAGGCAGGATATGATAACTTTTAAGATTAACTTATTATATCTTGTTGTGTCATCAAACACTGGATTGAGATAGAATATGATACAAATATCTTATCCTATCTCTTATCATGTGCACCAAACAAGCTCTTACACCTTATTTCATCCGCTGGGAACTAACCGTTGCAGGAAAGAATTTTTTAATCCTCGCAACGCCTCTCTCTCTCTCTCTCTCAAGGCAATAAAAGAAGATCAAAGATTTGAAGTAAAGTTCTCTTGGCCATTAAGCTGAAAAGCTGTAGATGCTGAAGTTGTCAAAGCTGCAATGCTAAACATGCTGAAGACCACTACACATAAATGAGAGAAAAGGAAGAAAGATAAAGAAGAAGAAATCTACAAGATGCTACACATACTATCATCATATACATCTTGGTAGATCTTCGAAGAAGCAAGGAGTTGTTGCTCGTGACTTGCTTAACAAGAAGATGAAGAAGAAGAACACTACAAGATGCTACCCAACTTCTGATCAAATAGATTTGGATAGAACTTTGTATTTTTACACAAGAGTTGTTTCTCATATTGTGTTATATTTCTAATCTCTTCATGTAAATTGTTTTAACACAAGAGTTGTTGCTCGAAATTATGTTAAAAAATATGTGCTTAATAACTTATGTAATCTGCTTAGAAGAAGCAATCATGTAAACACAAAATCTTATCAATTGTTGTTGATTGATTCCTTAGTGACCAAGTGAAAGTCTGATCTCAAGAAGATAATGGTTGAGGTCTTTGTGGAAAATCCTAATAGGAGATCTTAAGTGATCAGATTCTGTTGGGTCAATAATTATTATATCCGTTAAATTGGATCACTGAACATATCACTGAAAGGTTCCTTGAGTGACTGAGTGAAGGTCTGATCTCAAGAAGAGAATGGTTACGGGTCATTATGGAAAACCCTGATAGGAGATCTTCAGTGATATGATTCTATTGGGTCAATGAACGGTATATTTGTTAAGTTGGAACATTCAACGTGTCATTGTCTATTAGTCATTGACGGTTTCCCGTTTAATTGTAATCAGTTTGGTTACAGTGGATTAAGTCCTTGTTAAAGGAAAATCACCTTGAGGGGTAGATAGGATTAACCTTGCTAAGGTGAACCTGGATAAATCACTTGTGTTCTTTACTCTTCATTGTCTTTATAGGCTTTATCATTTGAGTGATTAGATTTTCTAAAGGGGGATGTTTTCTATAAACCTAATTCAAACCGCTCCCTCCTTTCTTATGTTTTCTCTACCTTCAATTTGTATCAGAGCCCGACTCTGTTATTGATTCAAGAATCAAACACTTAACCATGTAGAGAGATCCAGCAAGAGAAAATTCTTTGGGTACCATTTACTCAAATGATTGAAAGGTTTTCTTTTCAAAATGCTTCTTGAGAAAAAATCAATTTTTTTAATAGGAATCAGAAATGAAGACATAATCTCTGGAAACAAGTTCTTCGAATTCTTAATAGTTAAGTACTTGATGGAAAATGAATTCATCTTCTCATCATCGGAAGTTCTCCATCAGAAGTAAAGATCAATAATTAGTACTATAGATCATCTAATGAAGTTGTCATCCAAATGAAAACCGCTGCAAGCTTATATGGATCAAATCAACATCGTCTCGAGTAGATATGTCAAAATATCTAAAGAAGGCAAAAGCTTCTAAAAGATACTTGCTTCAAAAGTCTGAAGAAGAATTTGTTGAAAGTTTAGTAGATTTGTCCATGATACTTAGAAGAATATTATGTCCAACAACATGTTTAGAATCACCGAAAAGACTAATGGTTATTCAGAATCTATTTCGATCGAAGGAAGTCAAATAGAAAAGAATTCATCTGTTGGCAGTTAATCCAGTGTGCTTAATCTCATAAGTAACAGAGTTGCTGCTGAAGTTCAAGAAAAATGTTTTTAGGCTTAGTGTCTGTGATAACATCTACACTGGCTGAAGACACATCAAGACAAAGAATGAAATGTGAAATACAAGAAGTGCTCAACAGAATGGATGATCAGAAACAAGCTCAATTATGAAGGTAAACTCTTCACAAGCAGGATATGTCATGTTAGAATTTACATTTTTTCTGATAGAGTATTTTCTTTAAGTTACTTTTCTTTCAAATATTAGTAAAAATAAGTAAAATTAACTAAAATATTTTTACGTCTAATATAAATATATTTTAATATTTTCAAATAAGTAGAAGTGTTCAAGGAAGAAACTATCTCAGTTTTAAAATCAAGTTTATCTCTTGAAAATTGAAAAGTTAAAATTCATTGAATGGGATGTCTTTCGAATCACGCCTGATATGTGATTCGTTGAGAAGAAAGATAATCCTAAGACTAGGTGAAAAATTAGTTTGCCTTACTCCTTGTCAGATTTCTTCTCTACTCACAGTTTTAGTTTCATCACGTGTCTGGGAACTCGTTCCTTAAATCTCTCTCTCCACTCTTGTCCTCATTTAGTAGGATGACAGTTCCAATATCCTCAGACGTCTACTAATATCCTTTAGTCAGTCAGTTACACTTCCTTCTCATCTATTTATCGTCTAAATGAATCTATTCTTTATCGTTCACCTTCTATCTCCCTCTCTTACAAAACTTCTTCCAATGGCCGTAAGAACCTTTCAAGGTTTCGAAAAACTTTTGGAAGTTATCTGTGAACTTTGTCCAAGACTTAGTAGTGCTGAACTCAGTCTCACTGAAAGCTTCGGCCTTCAAGGATGGTCTTGCTACATCGCTATGTTGCATGGACCCATCTACCCTCATCTGATCCGTGAGTTTTGGTTGTATGCTTATGTTGATGATGTTTCCATATCTTCAACTATTTTCGGAAAACCCATAACCATCACACCAATAACAATTGTTGCTGCAATAGGGTTTACTCAAGCAGGTACAACTGTTGAAGCACTTCAAAACACCCTCTCTCTCCAAGAAAGACTCAGATCCATTCATGATCCCTCTGAGATGTATGAACCAAACAATCCTGGAAATCTCCTTCCTATCGCCATTGTATGGTTTCAACTTCTCTCGACCAATCTCCTCCCTAGAGGAATAAATATGCATATTTTATCTCATGAAGATAGAGTTCT